GAAGGTACCAAACATGTCATTAGTGTGTAAGATGATATGTATGGTGTGTCATAGATTGTCATTTCTGTCTATAAATATTGGGGTATCTCCACTTAATTCTTTGGCTGGCGTAGAGGGTGATAGTATGGATTTCACTATCAGTTAAGCCATATCCATTGTCCTGGGTACATATACATAGGGGCTCACAGGCCCTCTGGCTACTGACACCTGTTAATGTACTTCGTTCGACAGTAAACCTGACTTGGGTGCCTTCGTATCTTATCTGAGTCTGTCTGTCTGGTCTTAGGGGGGCTCTCATGAAGTCTATTGTGCTAGCTGTATAGAGCTGGCATGATATACTGAGAGACCATACAAAAACTCACGCAGACGAATATTTATCATCACTGATGGAGCAGTAGACCTTTCAGGACGCCACACCAGCGAATCCTGAATTTACCGTATTGCTGTCCTGAATTACTACTAGCCTGACTATAAAATTGAATAGTTTAGTATGATCTCACCAATCCTATCTATTTTGTCTAATTGCTACACTGCACTCTTCCCCATGTCTTGATGCTAGGGCATAAGCATAATATCATTTAAAAAAAAAGGCACATATATTCTTTTTTGAGAGATGTCCCTATGGGTGCTCCACATTAGATTGGTGAACTACCGCCTAGCCATCAATTAGAGATTTTAGAGCAGTGTGCATATGCGCAACACCAGGGACATCTGCAGCGAAGTGTTCCTAGGTGGCAGGTTCCTAGGTACTGCATTGCACGTGCAGTAGCCCCCACCTCCCTCTCCTCAGTTCCTTCTCTATTTCCTCTGGCCAAAAACAGGGAGCGCTGCTGATCTCTATCTCATTAGCATTTTTAGATACTAACCCCTTTTAAAACCAAGATTCTCTCCATATTAGATTAGTGGCTGTTAGCTTAAATTTAGTCTTAAAAAAAACCCAAAAAACCCAAAACCAAGAATACCATAGTTTTTAATCCTAGTTTACCCTTTCCGATAGGTAGGTAGTTGTTTAGCAACATGCCTGGCTCACCAGGTTTTAAGCGCTGCTCTACTTGCAGAAATCCTATCCCCGTCTCAGGCAGGCATGCACAATGCATCCGCTGCCTCGGAGAAGCGTATAGTTCTCAAAAGTGCCCTCATTGCGCAAAACTGAAGTTGCGGGCGTAATAAAACAGATCTGCGCCTCACGTTAATGCTGCTTGAAAAATCCTCCAGACCTGCCTCAGACCCAGGTCAACATCCCGAGGAGCAAAGGCCAGATAGAGGCAAAAAGCCCACCAAAAAAGAGAGCTTCATTCCTGTCTCAGGAGATGCTGGCACCTAAGTGGCAGTTTCCCATGCAGACAGTGCTGAGAGCGACAGTGGCACCGCACCTAAGCACTTATGATGCTCCGGGTGCCTCCGGAGCCACTAGCAAAGCCAGAAAAGTGGGACATTAAAGCCTGATGCTTCAGAGCAGGGTTTTGAAGTTGCCTGCCTCATCAGCTGTGACAACATCCGGCACTGAATCTACCTTGCCAACGCAGGATAAGAATGTGGCGCCGACCATATCGCCCAGCACCGACGCTAACACAACAGAGGCATCTAGCACGTCTGTAGCCTGCTCAGCACCAAGGCATAATGCAGCGCCTCAAATAACACCAGTGCTTCCTACTAATGGCGTGGTCAACACCGGCTTAACAATATAAGCAAAATAGAGACTTATTAGTCTCTTCTACGTTCAATTCATTATTTCTCGGTCCTGATCATTCTGCTTCTTTGTTAATATCACAAATGACAGTATCTCATGACAGACTTTCATCTGAATCTTACTATGACCTTTATGTGGGGTTCTCTCCAGAAATTTCCCCCCACATAGGTCAGTCTATTTATGATTCCAGATAATGCTCTAATTATGGGACTATGCCTCCATGGTATAGCAATCCCTGGGTACCTCCACCTATACTACACGCTCAGTGGCAATATTGGAACAATTGGCAACCTTGCCAAAAACACCACCATAACTGGAGATGACAACCCCACCTGCAAAGCAAGAGGACTCACCCAACCAAATTGCAGACATAATCTTGGAATCAAATTAACCTACCCCAGCAGAGGAAGTGGCTGTGTGCCACCTTCAACTACCTCAGATGACCTTGCACATTGTCAAGATTTGTTAAACATGTGGCTGATGAATTAAACATTCCCCTCCAGGAGGTCACCGAAAACCAACATGAACTAAGGATATATTGCACTCAGTAACACCCTCTAACATTCAGTGAAGGTGCAAACAGCTCTTTGTGTAGATTTCTGTGTTAGGAAGGGTACTCTCTATTGACTTTGATTCTTATCTGCTTCGTTTTAACTACCCAATCTTCAGGTCTGCCTTCCTGTTTTTCCCTTTGATTTTCTATACCCTGTGTTCCCTGTTTCCCATCCCCCTTCTTTTTTTATGGAGGGGCAAAGACTTCACGCACTCCCCCATCCCCAGACCAGTCATGGTTTGTGGGTGGGGAAACAGGGAAGTATCCTGTCCCGACCCCTTCCACTTGAGGCCCTGTCCCTTTCACTGTGGGCTGGGGCCACTTCAAAAATTTCTCAAGTGGCCCCCAGTAAAAAATTATTGCCCACCCTGAGCTAGAGCCACCAAATTTGGTATGCAGCTTCCTCTTCTCTTAACTAAAAGCAAAGTCAGGGTTTGATTGTGCTAGGACAACTGGAAGCCCCTGGAAAAGGACAGTTTTCTATAACATGCAAAGGGAAAGGCTGGTGTTCAGAGGAACTCGATATGAGAGTGTCCACTGGGGTCAGCTGTACCACCAAGGGAGTGACCAGCAGGCTGGGGATCCCCCATCTTTCCTGCCAGCACTCCAAATAAATAGCTATCCCAAATCCTTCTCTCTGTCCCAGCCCTTGGCTGCAACACCGGAGGGGTTAGGATAAAAAAAAAGCCCCTGGGGGTGGAGAGAAAATGCTCCTTGGCAGTGAGAGTGGGTTGGGCGGAGAGAAAAGGCCCCTTGTGGATTGGGGAGGGGAAGGAGAGAGAAAAGGCCAGTACCAAATGGGACCCCCCGCCATGAGCCCCTCCTCACCTCTCTCACTCTTGCACCCCCAGCCCTAACTCACCCTACATCCCCATGCTCCTGCACTGAGTCCTGTACCTCCCATACCACCAGTCCCATGCCCAAAAGGACCCAGGCAATGCTGGGTAAATCTGCTAGTGTTTATATTCTTTCAAAACATCAGGTCCCTCCAGGCATCTTGTATCTGAGTTTTAAAGGTTAGCCAAAAAAATCTCTAGTGTGTTGATGTTGATTTTTTTTTCACTAAGTTTCAGAATATTTAAAAATTCCAGAGGTCTGGAAGAAAGGTAATAAATATAGTGCCACTATTTAAAAGGAGTAAACAGGATGACCTGAGTTTCTATAGGCTGGGTCATCTTGACATTAAAAACTATGTCAAAATGCACACACACACAGGAAGCTGAATTAAGGTTGCATAGTCCTGTCCAAATCCTTTCCCCACCATGTCAAATATGGACCCTGCTTTATTAGGAAATTTGCTTTCTGTATAAAAGAGCTTTCTAGAAATCTGAGAAACAGAATGCATTTTTCAGTAGACTGGTTAAAGTTGGTTTTAATTTCTAAATCAATTAAAACAATATTTGAACATCTGACTAACTAACTTTCCCATGGTATGTTCAGTCTTTTAAAACTCTCAGATTCTTTATTTGGGTTAAAATCTTGACTGTTTCTAATAGTTGATTCCTTTATGAATTCCTTCTTTTATTCCAAGCCCATCTTGTCTCTTTTGGCCTTAAAGTATATGAGCCTTTGTCAAAGGATATGTATAATCTTCTGGAGTTGAGTTTTTTTAAATTAATCCAGAGTAACCTTTGAGTATTTACAGTACTAATTATTTTTCTTTAATAAAGACATACGGTCTGTGTCAAGTAGAATATCTCCGTTCACTGCTGTGCTTTCAGCTGGCTAGCTTGATAGTACAGGTTGAACCTCCTAAATCTGGAACACTCTGTTCTGGCACCATCCGTGATCCAGCAGGGAGTGCGAGCCTTTTGGAAGGCAAGCCCTGTCCCCGGGGAACCCCAGTCAAGTGGGGCAGCAAACACGATCAGTGAGCCCCGTCTCTAGGGACTCCCAGCCAAGTGCAACAGCAGCGGGCAACTGTGGAGCCTTAACCCGGTGTGGCTGCAGTGGGGAGCTCTATACTCTCCTGCTTGACTAGGGGTTCCCGAGAAGTGGGACTGCTGTCGGGAGGAGCCCCGTCCCCAGGAAGCCAGAGCCAAGCCCAAGCCCTGTAGCAGCAGTGCTGGAGCAGACCCAGCTGAAGGGAAGGGCAGTGTCATTTGGGACAGGTCTTGTGCCAAGGGTGCTAGAGCAAGGAGCTCCAACCTGTACTATATAACATTTGAAACAACTGTGTCCACTCTGTTAATTAGATCTGCATGTAAGGGAGACTTTGGGACTCATTTGAAGTCTGATCCCTTCTTGGTCGTTACCAGCACAGAGGGCTGGACTTGATGACTTCTGTATATCTGTAATTCTACCCCTTGGCATGTATAATGAGAATAAAGATTCCTGGTTAAATTCCAACTTGGGATATTATGTTCTAACTAAAATGTTTCTGCAGCTTTAGTTAAATATAGTGGTGGTCCATTCCCATCCTAAATGGTTTAATGTTGCTGAGACCTACAACACGAAAGTGGCTTCATCTTAGTAGTGGGTGAAGTGTTCCTGTGTTTGTTCTCTATATCTATTTCAGTTTTTAAAATGCTTTAAGATGAAAGATGATAACTTAAAATACAATATTTAGTGTTTTGGTGATGATAGCTGGCTATAATATAGAATTAATTTGTTCTGTATCATGCAGTCATTTTGGCTGATTTGGCAGAGAAACTGGCGAACAGATTTCTTAATCAAAATTGGCGTAATAAAACTACTATTCATGAAGAGTTTATTCATATCTAATTCTGCCAACATCTCTCGTTGTTTTGCTTATAGGATACTGCTCTTCGGAAGCCAAGAGAAGTATTCAGGCTACCTACAGACATGACAGCTTGTGATAATCGCCTTTGTGCATCAATACACTTTTCATCATCTACCTGGGTTACCATTTCAGATGGAACAGGAAGATTATATCTTATTAAAACAGGCAAACGTGGAGATGCTGCATCTGAAAAATGGGAGGTAAGTTTTTTGCTAAAATACTAGTTTTATAAGTATAGTTCTCATAATATTCCTGTTTCAGAGTTCAGTCTTGCCAAGGGCTTTTCAGAGTAGTTCCACACTTTTCAGAGTAGTTCATACACTTTTCAGAGTCGTTTATAAAGGTAGATGGGACCACTTAAGTCTGACTACTTGCATAACACAGACTACAGAAGTTCCGTGAATTAGTTCTTGATTAAACTGGAACTTGTATTTAGGGGGGAAAAAAATCCAAATCCAAATTGCCATAATGGAGACTTCACCAAAACTCTCAGTAAATAGTTTCAGTAGTGAATTATAATTGCCATTAAAAATGTGTGCATTGCTTCCATTCTGAATTTGCCTCCCTTCAGTATCTAGCCATTGGATCTTTTTATTTGTGCAGTAAGAGATTTTGTTCCCAGTGGAGGTACTTATAAGCTGTGATCAAATTATACCTTTAATTTTCTTTCAAAGACAGCAGGGACCTCTCCTCTTGGAGGTTAGCCCTTCGGCCCTGCCCCATTTGCTTGAGGCTCTATTCCTTGTAACTCGAGCCTTAAGCCCCCCAACATCTGGAGGAGCTCTGGGTTGAAATAAGTTTGTGTCCAAGTTGTTGCCTGATCTAAGATTACATTTAAATTTCTAATTGCCCACATTTAGGGTTGACAGGTTCTTTGTCCCAGGATGAGCCCCAGTATTCAATTATTCTATGATTAGGAATCCCGATGTGCACTGTTGCAACATTCACGCTATAGAAACTCTTGTATATTTACAAATATAGTTTATTAATACAGTTAGCACAGTCACAAACACCCCAATTTCATAAGATAGGGAATGTACATCCATATTTCCATACCATATACGTACATCATTCCTTCCAGAACAATCTTAGGTGTTAGCCCATCATCTTTCTCGTTATCTTCACCTTCCCCATCACCAGGGGCCATCATTCTGGCCCTTCCAAGAACTGCATCTACTTCTCACTAACACCCCTTGGCTGGGGTCCCACTTTTATATTATCTGATGCTGACATGTTTGATGCATATTCAGTAGGGGATGTTTATAATGTTGAAGTGTCCTTTTCCTATAGATCTATGTATCATTGCTCTCAACATATATATCAGTTTGTTCCCATGTGCCTTTGTGGTCCTCTGTCACACCCTGTGTCCTGATCACTTAATTCAGCCTGAACCAATTATTTTGGGACTTTATATAATGATGCATCTGCTGAGTCTGAGGGCATTTTTCCTACCATCCTATGTGGGTGAAAGGTCCCAGACATAAGTTCCCCTTTTCATCCCAGGAAACCATAAATAAGCTATGACCTGTATCTGGGTGAAACCATGTCTGACCAATGAAAATCTGCTAACCTTAGCTTCTGCTGATCTTGCAAACGGGCTGTTACAGCCTGGATCAAAGATAAAATATAGCCCCATATTACTTGACCAGGACTGTGAGTTTATATGTGTTTTTTCATTCAAGTGCAACCTCGCCCTCAAATTGGCTATAATGCAGACATGGCACTCATTGCAAAGTGCATTCAGAGGTTGAACCATTTTGTTATACCTTAGAGCAGGGGTTCCCAAACTTTTTGACACAGGGACCAGTAAATCCATTCACAAGCTTTTGGAGGACTGGTAACATTCATTTGCATATTCATTAAGCAAGTTAAGGGAATATGGATTGGATAAATGGACTGTAAGATGGATAGAAAGCTGGCTAGACCAGTGTTTCCCAAACTTTTTACTTTAGTTGGAACCCGGATTTTTTTCAGTACTGTTTTTTGCAGCCCAAAAATATAAACTCATATTTAAAAAAAGAATTAAAATTAATAAATTTTCAGTATTTCACCCGGCTGCATCCTCCGCCCAGCCTGGGCCGGGGCTTGGGGGACCTGGCGCCACATGGTCACTCCAGGAGCAGGAGCAGATTAGGGGTAGGGTATCTGGCTAGGAGGGAGGGTGCAAGCAGGGGTAGGGTTGCCAGGTGTCCAGTTTTGTACTGGACAGTCCAATATTTGAGGGTTCTGTCCTGGAAACAAATTGAGAAAATACTGGACATATTAAATGTCCGGTATTTTCTAATTAGGTAAGTTTTATTATTATTATTAGGTGTATCAGTCCGTAGCTGCGAACTGCCTGGCTGGTAGATGTGCTCACTCTGTGTGAGTGTGTCTACCAGCCAGGCTGTTTGCAACTACTCGAAGGAGGGGGTGGAGAGTAGAAATGGAATCCTCGGGGCCAGACTCACTAATGTGCCTGGGTCTGCATATGCCCGGGTCAGTCTCATTCCCCCATCCCCCGCTTCTCCTCCCAGTCTCCCCTGGCCGGCCCCGTTGCCCCCATCCAGCGCTGCTTCTGGTGGCTGGTTCTCCAGTCCTCCTCCTCCTGATCTCCCCTGGTCAGCTCCCTTCCTCACCTCCTGTCCAGCCCTGCTGCCGCCCGCCTGCCCCAGTCTCCGCTGGACAGCCCCGCTGCCCCCAACCCGGCTTCCCGATGGCCGGTTTCCCCCCCCCACACACCTCCTCCCAGCCCTCCCCGCCCCCCCCC